GTTCTGAAAGTTATTTATTTGAAGGCTAGCTGCAAATGTTTTTAATGCTGAGAGCTACTTCACAACAACCATGCAAATGCAGTTTAATGCTAGTTCCCTTCCTTGCTTCTTGTTCTTCCTCTTGTTTTTTATTTTAGTTTTCTTGTCAGAGAGGGTGAATTAATGGGGACCCCTTAATGTGGTAGATAACTCGATGGTTAAATTTGTTTTTATCCAAGAAATTTTGGTGAGAGCGTTTGATATTTCTTCATAAATCATTAATCTCCATGAAATATAATTTTTGATGTGATGCCTCAGAAATTATGAAAAAAAATTCATGTAATTAAAATGCTACAATATTAATGTTATGGTGAAGACGGTTTTTGATTTGGACTTATTATGACTCCAGAAAAAAAAATTATTTAACTGAGTCAAAATATGAGCTATTACATTTGAGCTAACAATTTTAAGTCTGTGAATAACATCAATTATTTTATATTTCTAGGTAATATTTTTTTTTTATCTTGCGATATGATATAGAATTAAATTCAATGTCTCATTTGTCTTAACAAGTTTCTATATTAGTAGCACTTGTGAATAATTCTTCACTTCCCCAAAAATTTTAAGACATAAAATCGAACATATTTTTAACCCTAGGGTAAGTGTACTCACGAGCGGAATTGGGAAGTGCTCAAGGTAAGTTTCCGGCCCGTTAAACGGGCAACTTATAGGATGAAAATGACGAGTGATGTAAGTTGTCCGTTAAACAGACGACTTTAACCTTGATAAGAAAACAACATTTCCTCTCGCTATGTCTCCCTCATAGAGTAGGAAAATTTCCCTCTCTCGAGCCCTTCACCACCAATCTCCGCTTCTCGCTGTTGTTTGGAGTCTTGAGGTAAGGGATCTTTTCATTTTTAGTGTAATTTAAGTTAGATGATTCATGTATAGCATTTTTTTTTTACTTAGATCAGCTAAAGTCTAAGAGAGAAGTATACATTTTAGTTTTTTTTTTTTTATAGTTCTTGTGTTCTAGTTAGGAAAAATGATTGCATTTAAAAAATTTGGAGAAATATGCATTTTTGTTGGATCTTTTGTCATGAAAAAAAAAATGTAAGTGCTTAAGGTTAGTAATTACGAACACTAAAATCTATTTTATTCTTAGAAGAATAAGTATTTTAACTATTTTGTTCATATTCAATAAATGCAGTTGTCTAAATTCTAAGAAAAGAAATTCTTTTTTCGCTTTCATTTCTAAGATTATATATTTCATAATTCTATTTTGCCCACCTTCACAGGATAGAACGATTCCGCCCCTGTGTAACAGATGTTGATGATGCATACCTTTTTTAAGCTGTATGATTCAACGTAAATATAGGAACCCTGAAGCTGCTTCAACGAAGACTACTTCCTAGCTGGAGACTCATTTTGGAAGCTGAGAAGGGTGACCTCTGAGTTGCTCTCAAGTGTTGACAATTTAAATAGAATTAGTTTACTTCCTAAGAGGAAAATTTATAGCCTCTGATTTCTTCAGATCTTGCAAATCTGACAGTTAACTACTTTGATGTGACATAACAATTTCTTTTCTTTTCTTTTTTTGCGGAACCTAGCGAGACCCTCCACCGGCATCAGGTTCACACTTTACGTTGCCTCACTGAAGAGGTGAAGCCGTAGTAGAGGGGATTCGAACCCGGGATGGAGGGTTCCCAACCATGCTCGCCCACCAACCACCCTAAGCCTCAGCGGGTGAGATATTAATTTCACTGTGTCATTCTCAAGTGCAGGTTTAGTTTTGTCAATGGTAAATGTCATGCTTCAAAGTAAAGAAATAGTTAGAATGTCTACTTCAAATTGGACAGTTTTCTTACATTTAACAATAGATCTATGGGTTTGATGTGTTAATACCTAAAACTTCTTCATTTAAGAGAAATCTTCTTCACTTGAACTCCCTTTCTCTCTTCTTTTTTTTGTGATTGAATCACCATTATATAATCTCCTCTTTAGCCTTAATTTTTACTGTTCTCAATATATAGTTTGGCCTTATCTTTCTTTAATTCAGATGCTTATACTTTATTGTAGAAATATGTTACTTAAAAGATCATATATATTTAAATTTAAGTATAAGCACAAGAGAAATAAAGTATTTGTGGATTATAAACTTTTTGTGTAATTGGTGGTAAATTTTCATTTTTTACTATCATTTTTAAATTACATTTTAGAATTAATCCCGAATTTTAATTCCAAACTTCATAGAAATAAAAGATTTTAAGCTGCAAGATAGATTAAGTCTTCATTTGGTACGGCTTTCTAATTGCTTCTTAAAACAATTTTTTAGTATAAAAATTAAAGCAATATGCTTTTAAAAGCAGAAAGAAAGTCATCCCAAATGATCGATCAAGCCTAAAATTTCATTTTTGACATCTTTCTTACTGCTTCTTAGAGCAGTTTTTTAGTACAAAATTAAAATTTTTCTATTAAAAAGTTGCTTAAAGAAGCAGTAAGAAAATCATTTCAAACGAAGCCTAATTATGATCATGATATTGATTAGAAGCACATAAACGTAAAAAAAAGAATTGACTAAGGATATCATGAAACATTTTGTATTGAGATGGGCTTCGAAGTCTTTAAATTTATGTTGAAACTAATACATTTCTTGAACATCATAACTTAAATCTTAGCCAAAAAAGTGTTAGAATATCCTTAAATAATATTTTCTTCAAATATTGTAGCACGAATAAGCATGTTCTGCAAATTAAAATAGGAGCATTTTAGTAGAAAGATTTACAATCAACTTTTCTCACCACACATGTGCTAATCACTCTATTATTCAGGGTATCATTAATCTAATGTGTTACATCATTCAAGATACATTTGTTCATATATGCAATATTAATGAGCTTTGTTTTACTTGTATTTTTTTTTATTTTTTAATTAAAAAAAAAATAGATCTCATCATTTTATGTTTTTAAGCTATTTATTTATTATCCATTTATGAAGTAAAAGCCTATTTATTTTTCAAAAATGAATATCACTTTCAACTTTCTTCTAAAAGTAAAAGCATAAATAAATATACATTGATCTTACTTCATAAGTCATAACAAACTAATTACCTATCTCATTTATTTAAAGTGCTCCTCAAAGAAGGGACCTATAAATGATCACTAAAAGAAATAATCATTTATGAAGATAACAATGTTATCTTGTCAATTAAAATTTTGTCTATTTGTTTATTAAGGTTTCGTTTGGAACGGCTTTCTTCTTAATTGCTTTCTAAAACAGTTTTTTAATAAAAAAATTTTTGAAATTTAAAATTTTATACTAAAAAATCATTTTAAAAAGCAGTATAAAAGCTGTCCCAAATGATGCCTATGTTGTAGCTTAAAATGGTTACTTGTAAAAAAAAAAATCACTCCATTAAGCTACAAGTACTTAGTCACTCTATAAAAAATCTTTAGAAATCAAATGGTCCCCAATTAAACTCCTACACCTACCCTCTTAATCAAATGTATTAATATTTTTTTATATGCTAGTAGAAAAAAAATCTATTGTAGGGAAGGAAATAAAGTAACATAGGGACCCAATACTTTATTTTTTTAGAGGGGTAGCAATGAAAGCAGTACCTCAATAAAATTGAACATAAAATGTTGCTCACTTTGGTCTGTTGGTTAGGAGCTTTGACGGTTAATTAGGAGATCTTGAGTTCAAGCCTTGAATATGTGATGCACATGTGAGTTTTCTTTAATTAGCCTAAATGTCCAAAAAAAATTAAACATAATAATAAAAAAAAAACTACATCAAACATAGATAGGACTATGGGAAGGCTTGACACCTTAGGTGAGCTCTAAACATCTAATAGTAAAATGACTTGACTTATATTAAGAAATGTAGAGGTAGATCTAAAAAGATTTGGTTAGAAAATATTAGAAATGATCTTTCTTTAATAGATTTAAACGATAATTTGATTTTTAACATGATACAATAGAGAAAAAGAATTCATGTATCCGACCCCACATAGTGGGATAAAGGCTTTATGTTGTTTTTGTTGTATTGAAGTAAAATGAATATATTTTTTAAAGCTTATTGATGGTAGTCACCCGCGATGGTTGCCAGGCTGTCAGTGGACAACAACAGGTTGTGGGGTGTTGAGCAGTGGTTGTGGCAAGTAAAGATGTCAGTGGTTGGCGGGTGGCAAGTGATGCATCAGAGGCTGTCAAGTGGCAAGTGGGTGGCGGCGAGTGAGCAGTTGTCCGGTCGCAAGTGGGTGGCGCCAAGTGAGCAGCTGCCGAGGTACATGGACGTGGGTGATGGATGATGGTTAACAATTGCAATTGACAATTTTCAACGTTGGTCATGGCGGTGGTGACAACGCCAATAACAAAATTAGCTTACAATGTATTCATAATTCAACCAAAACCAGTGTGGCTTTTGAATGCATAAAAATGAAGCATAGAGTGAATTTAAGATTCAGCAAAATAAGATAAATAATATTAAATTTTTCTCAAATAATAAGATAATAAATTATGGAGTGAATCTAACATTATTTTCAAATTGCATTTCAATTATAAATAATAAGAAAAAATTTCTCATTTTAAAAAAGATAATCAAAACAATAAAAAACCTATAATTTTTTATTAAACCAAAAAGCTTCTCCCAAAATATGAAGAATTATATAGTAATTTATAAAAAAATTAAAAAGATGCTTAATTTAGATAAGAATATTCCCATATTATATTTTTCGAATAATCTTTAAAATTATTCATAAAAAACTGTGATATCCGCTTAACACGTAATTAATACAAAATAATTGTTTATTTATACTAAGTTCCTGTTAATTTCGTAGTACTCCCAACTAAGCAAAGCATTTATTTATTGCGGAGAAAAGGACAGCCGGTAATGCATGTCTTCTTTAATGTTGTACAAGAAGAAAAAAACCACGCTAAATTTTGGCATTAGTAAAATACTGAAACTAGAGCATAACCCCAAACCCCCCTCTCTCTCTCTCTTCTGCAAAACCCAATAACCTCTCTCTCTCTCTCAGTCAGTGTCTCTTTCTTCTGCACAACTATGACAATGCGAAAGCTTCTCCCATCCTCATTCATGTCCATGCTAGTTCTCCCTTGTTTGTCCACTCTCCTTCTTCTCTTAAAGCCCCTTCTCAGAATCCTTCACTTACAGTCAACAACACCAACCCACGCACAATCAATGAATCCTACCTCCTTGGAAACATATCTCGCTGTCTGCAACAGAGCCACATCCATATCTGATACAAATATTGCCATTTTTCAGTACAAACAAGTAGTTGGCGAGCAATTACTGTGCATTTTCTGCTTATCAGAAGTTGGTGAAGGAGAATCAGTCAGGCAACTAAGCTGCAGTCATCTTTTTCATAGCAGTTGCTTTGATAAATGGATTGAACATCGAAGAACAAATTGTCCCCTCTGTCGCTGCTCGCTGATTTTGTTGGAGACAAAGGCAGAGCAGCTTGATCATGAGATTGAAGATGAAGAAGTTGAAGATTCTGCAACTCCTCTTCTAGCTTTTGTGCAGAGAGAATGGTGGGGAGTTGTTCATCCCTGTGGTTGAATTGAAAGGTTTTGTTTTTATTTGTTTTTTTAGCTATTTTAGATAGCTGGATTTTAAGGCTAGCTAAGAGTGTAGATCAGGTCTAAGTCATTGTATGAAGTAAGAAAGCTGGGATTAACTTGCCTGAACTGTCAATTTGCTTCTCCTCTTTCATGTGAAAAAAATAAAGATTGAGGGACCTTCATGTTTGCTTTATGAGATCATGAGATTAGTCTTCGCACTGTCTTGTCTTCTTTATCTTGCTGGTGGACCACCATATTAATTTATGAGTGGTAGAGCTGTAAAGATAAAGGTTTCTGATCATGTTTGTTGTTTTCTCTTTAAAGTATATGTATATAGATTATTTATCTCTATCTTTTTTTTGTCTTGAGCTTTCTTGTTATATTACAGCATTGTAAAACATATGCGATGGAAAATGTTGTTGTAAATTTTGTCGCAAATGGTAATTTGGTAAGGGAATTTCTCTTTCTTATAAGTTTTAGGATTTCCAATGAAGTAATAATTTCAGCGCCTCATAAAGACATGGCAAATCATTGAGAAGAATTATCAGAAGTATACTCGAATCCATTGTAATGCAAATTTAGGTTTTCAGTCTTCCACCTTTTAAACGGCGTTCTCCAAGAGAGTGAGAGACTCCTTCCTTTCACTCAAGATGAGAAATGAGAACTTCATTGCTTAAACTGAGTACCATGATCCTTTTATACTTCAAATATATTTATTTTTATTTCAACTTATCATTAAAATAAAATAAATACTTGAGCTCTACACAAATAATTATTTCCATACAAATTTAATCAAGATGTCACTTAAGCCAAAAAATAATTTAATTCTTAAATAGATCATAAATTTAATTTGCTCAATTTTAAATATCATGTAATATATAATATTTTATTTATATTTATAAGTATATGGATCAACATAAAAAAAAAAAATTCCAATAATAAGATGTTACAAAATATTGTAAATGCTCAATCAATATGCTCCCACATTTATATACTGTTTTGTTTTTTATTATTATTATTTTAATTTTAGGTGAATTTACTATCAAATTGTTGAAAGTGATAGTGGAAGTTAAGGCCGCCAATCAAGGAGGCACGTAGCCTTTCACTAAAGTGTTTTTCATGTGAGGAGGATCACAAACTCTTATCATTATGAATGTCTTCATCAATCATATCTATTCAATGATGTGACAATTATTAATAAATTCATTATATTAAAATATATTTTATTGTGTTGAATCAAAAAAACTCTCGTGCACTTTCACTTTATTAGATTTTTTTTTTTTCCGAAATGAATCGGCATCCCATTTCCTTGCTTGAGCTATATTGAGTATTTCTTTCCTCCTTCAGGCTTCGGCCGAGTAGCCTGAAAGTTTACTACTCTCTTATACCTCCTGTGATGAAAAAATCAAATGCAATTTCAGACTTATCTCTCTTGATGAGAAGTTCTCTCTTTAGTTTAATTGTTTGGAGGATCTTAAACTAGTTAACAATGGAGGCCCAAGGCTCATTAATGGCCAACTATTCATCTTCAAAGCATGGTCAGTAGATTTCAAAGACATTCACATGTGAATCAAGCTCTCCAACTGTGTTGTTGGAATAAGAATGGAATATCTAAAATCATCAGTAAATTTGGGTCTCCTTTAGTTGTTGACTCACTCATGGCATTAATATCACTGCTCACTTTGTCCAGATTCAGTTCTCCACCAAATCCATAATGCTCGATCAGGTTATGTTGGACCTTAATAATATAGAGATTAAAGAAAATATTATACATGAAAGGAAGCCCAATTGTGGTCTAGTATGTGATGCTATTTCACAATAATCCATCAAATACCCATTAGACCCAAGTACCTCCACACAACATATCAAGACCCTTTTTAACAGGGGCAAATTATTACGTGCGGTGTCCGGATTTGTCCGGAGGCGAATCCGGATGCCCCACATCTCACCCGGACCCCGGTGCATCTGGGTGACGTGGCGCGTTCGGATTCGCCTCCGGATGGTCCGGACACCCCACGTAATAATCTCTCTTTAATAGGGGAAGAAGCTCCAATCAGGCAAGAAGCTATACCCACTCATCGAGATCCAAGTAGGCCAAATGTATCCTTTGTAAAAATATCACCCTTGATCTAACTTACCATCGAGTTCCACTCTATCATACAAAACTTCTCTCTCCTCCTTCTCAGCTTAATGACCTGAACGGCTCATCTCCTTCAAAAGAGCTATAGGATCGATGAACATAAACCTACCTCTAATTTGTTAAAGATTATCGACCCTTTCTACCTCTATTAATCTTTCCTATATCACCCATACATTGACCAAATCAACTAAATTGAGTAAATTAAATATTTGACCTCAATCAAGTCGCCATTTTCCTTCCCCCAAAAGGAAGAAACTCTCAACACATGAAACATCCCTACTACCAAAAACAATAGTTCTCTATGAATTTTCCTCAGATTTTTGCTTGCAGTGTTAAAGGTTTGCATGGCAACATGAATATTCTTGACTGCAAAAAATTATCTCTAAAAAAAGTATTAACATCTTTACTCTCCTTGAATCTAAAATCAATTATGATCCCCTTTTATAATGAGGAAATTTCAACTCTTTCTTGATGAGGGAAATATGAAAACTCTAATCTCTACCCTTGGGGTAGTATTTGAATAAAATGGAAATAAAAAACAGTCAATTTCTATGTTCTTCTTACTCATCCATGATCATCATAAATACACTTCCACTCTCATGTTCTACAATTTATTTGTTTATGCTAAAAATGGTGCTATGGAAAGAAAAGGTCTATGGTAAGCTACCGCTTATTTGGCCAACCAAATCTCTAGTCCATGAATGATACTTGGAGATTTTAATTATATTAGACAAGCAAATGAAAAAAAAATTAGGTGTAGGCATATTCCATATATGAAATTGCTTTACTTGAATGCTGTACATTCAAAGCAAGTTTGATGGAGATCCACAACAAAGACTTTTCAACCATCAAATGGATAACCCCCATTACTATCTTCATGATAGCTCCCTCTATAATTTGAGCTTGTTGGATCATTTTTCTCTCATTTATTATAAAATCTGAACTTCCAATGACTTAAAATGACTTTATATGAAAAAAAAAAGGTTTATCGTTGCAGCGCTTTGCTGGCAAGCACAACAACGTTGAGAGCGTGGCTACGCTGAGAGCACTGCTATACCAGAAAATATCGTTGCAACCTTGAAAGCTCTATTATAATAACAAAAAATGACTTTATATGAAAAACATAAATTATCTATGTCACCATAAATTGTCGTTGCAATATTGAAAGCTATGTAACAACTTATCTATTTCTCATCTCATTACAACTCCAGGAACCGTAAAACTTCCTTTTACTATAAAAATGCTTGGGGCTAATCATCTTTTCCTCTAGAATGGATATAACAGATTGCTCTCCTATTCTTAACAAAATTATTGCTTGAATTTATGGTTGCAAACAAAAAATATTATCTTTTTTCAATAAGTTGTATTTTGTTAAATCCACTACTTGGAATTATCTTCTATATTAGTTCAAGTCTACTGTAATTCCAAAGGGTGTCATTAAAACGACACGCTCTTTGATCACAAAATTCTTATTTAATAACAACACCATCGAAGACGTGCATATTATCTCTTATCATACTACCACCATGTTCACCCTTCTTATAATAAAGAATATTTTGATATTTACTGTCACAATACTATGAATATTTTCCATAAAGCCGAGATGATGGGCATAATCTATGATTCTAATTTCATCATAGTGATCTAGTTTTTCCAATTTCAATGACTCTTTTTGGGTTCTCATTCACAGTACCACTTTTCCCCTCTCTAAGAAGCCTTACAAAACATTACTAGAAAATTCAAACATTAATGGATGTCTTTTATTGTGAACAAGAATTGTTTCCTCTCTTTATCCTAGAACCATTTAATTCATGACAAATCTATTGTTGATATGATGGGCATTGGGCAATTATGCTTTACAATTTTTGAGAAACCTATCAATATGAAGGTTAAAGAGATTGCCTCCAATGGCATTTGGTTTCTACTTCTTAGGTACTCCTAGAAAGAAATCAATAATATTTCAGACATTCAAAAAATTCAAAAAGGTTCCTTCAAATGTTGTATCAAACAGTTTGGTTGCAACCTTTATTTAGCCAAAAAAGCTTACCTATACGAGTGTTATTAGCATATTCTCATTATTAGGCAAATTCATATACATATCAAATACGTAAGCTTCCAACCAATATATCAAAGTGAGTTGTGTTAAAATTATCAACTTACCAGACAATAGGTAAAAAAAAAAATCACCGATTGTCTTAGGTTTTGTTTGGAAATTTGGACAGCTTTTTATCATTGTTTTTTTCACTGCTCTTAAAGAAATTTTGTGCTAGAAAGCTACTTGAAAAAGCTGCAAGAAAATTGTCCAAAAGGAAGCCTTATTCTATGTTCAATTTTGCTGGCTGAAAATTAGCAATAAAAATAAAATTATTGATGATATTTTCAGTCGGTATAGTAAATGTACCAACTGAATTTAGTCACAGTAATCAATGTTAAAGAAGATCTTGTTGCCGACCAGAAAATTAAATATGTACCAACCAAAAATCGGTTATTTTTATCTAATTAAACGCCCCATATGTTTGTTTGTTCTCGAACAGTTACCAATTGATAATATTTCTAGCTTTCAATTTTCAATTTTTAGTCTGCTGATAAGTCCCAACTCTATGCAATCATTGAAGTTACCATTTTGAGTCATTGTTTTATGCAAATATCTATAATACATATAAAAGATGGTCTCAACAGTATCTTTTTTCTTGATTAGGAAAGATTTTGATACAATATAGTAGATATAAACTATACGGAACAAATTCTGCGGTGAAAGTTGGATGAATCTTGTAGCATGAGAGTTATCTTCGTAAGATCTATTGCTGTTTGTTTTTGTTGTTGGAGGAGAGGAGAACAAATACTAAGATATTCAGTACAAATATTGGTGATGATGTTTGGCGTCAGAGTTGATGTTGATGTTATGCATCAACCATATAACCCATGGCATGAGCAATGTGGTTGGCGACGGCATGCAACACAGATAGCGGGCATCACTTTGTTTGTTGAAATAAGAGCTTGAATTGCCCTAAATTTGATTCAAAAAATTTCTAATTCAAATATGTTTTGTGATTCATGTGTGATCGAGCTGAATTTTTTATGACGCAAAAAAAAATATATCATTTCACATATTAAGTGTTAAATATCCAAACATGAAAAATAACATAAATCAATCGCCCTCGTGTTTTCCCATCCTCGACTAATAATTAAAGTTTTTATTATGAGAATTGGA